GCAAATGTAACTTCACCACCGTCACTATATAACCACCAAAACCAAGTAGAAGAATTGGCTTTACTGTAAACAAAGATATTGAATACCTAAAAATTTGTGAATAATTCAAACACATCCTTTACATTGGCAACCATTTGATACAATATTAAACTCATTCCCAATATACCTGCAGCGTCCTCCATTTAAGACATCACACATGGACCAAAAAGTGAGTCCAGTTTTGCTTGCTGATACTCCGCCATCCATGTCCAATCTTGCCCAAAAATACATAACATCTCCTTTAGTTTCCTGTATAATTTCTTCCAGAGCTTTTTCAGCATTTGCTGACAAAGAAACCTAATTCAAGGAAAACAACAGAAGCAATAACTGAGAGATAAAAAGAACAACAAAAACTGTATTGGAAGCCAAATGAACTGGCTTAAGCTGCAGATATGTGAATCTCGATGACCAGTTGTTTAACTAAAATTATTCCCTTTTTTATGAGGTTGGTTTCCTTTTAGGAAGACTCACGGCCATTAACAAAAAGAATAGACAACTTAAAACTGATGCATGGAGGTCCACCATACATTCAACTGCTATCATAAATTGTAAGAACTACCTTCCTACCAGCAGCACGCCAGGACTGAAATCCAATCCAAGGTCTCCTGTGTATACTGTCCACTTTATTTGCAATAGAAAACATGCCTCCAATCTCACAAAGAACATTTCGGAAGTGAGTTTCATTTAAAAGAGGAAGCCGACCAACTGCATCCACATCATCTGATCTTATCCTCCGAGCTCTAGTGGACTGAAAGACAAAATGATGAAGGCTTTAACAACAACAGGAACAGCTAATTTTATAATTTGACATTTTTATTAGCAATGGCTTATTTTGAGTAATTCTTTTATAGGAGGAAAGAACGAAGTACAAATGAATCTGGTAAATATAGATGAGTTGATGCACACAAAAATGAGTTTTTGTTTCTTTTGTCTTCCTCAACATTTCATTCCAGTGGAAAGATGAAGAGGCAATCCTTTGAAAGTTGAAATTACAATGAAGAGGCAGTTCATGGAAAAACATTAAAGATACTCACAAGACTTAAACCGCGATATAGAGAACCATGATGTAAGAATGGCCAACCCCCAGGTCCGCTGTATATCTCGTAAATACATACTGGCTGTCCTGTCCTTTCGAGCTCTCCCTCATCTCTTTCATTAGCTTCAAATTTAAGTTTGTCAGACCTACGAGCATTACGATATATATCATCCCAGGCATCAGTGTCTCTCTCCATTCTTTCTGCAATCTACAGATGAAATTACCTATTTCAGCTGTCTTTTCAAGAAAACACATCAATGAAAAGAAATGAATATGTGAAAAAGGACAAGACAGCGAATGAGGTAAAGCAGGGTAACATTTCTCATGTCATACAATAGTAAGAAACACCATACCTCCTCTGCTTCAACCCTCTCATATTCTTCAAAGTCTTCTATTTCTTGTAGCACATCCCAATCTTCTTTAGAAGGGATATCTTGAGGCAAAACCTCGGTTTCATTCTCGTATGTGTTTACTGGATTAACAACACTAGTGAAAGATTGCTCAAGTCTATAGACGGCGGAACTTCTGAAGGAAAAATCACCGTCCTTCAAGTTTTTCAGGTCACCAGTTTCTTCTTCTATTCCCCTCCCGAACAAATTCCATTCCCATGCCTGCTGTTGAAGTATGGAAGTAGGACCAGGCAGCAAGGCATCTGATGGGAAGTTTAACACATTCTCCAGAACCCTTGCATAACCAGTTATGCATTCTGATGCATGCATATTCTTAGCTAGCAGTCTTCCAGAAGAAGCAACCGTCCGTGCAAATTTAGAGAGTCCCTCATTTGATATCAAAAGAGAGAAAGCTGTTGACAAAGCTTCAGGATCGTGTCTTCTGAAAAAAATTCCATGAGCCCCATCAACAACCTGTTTTTACAGAACCTCATTTAGGAGAAAAAAGGAAAAGAACTTCACACAAGGACAACAAAAGAACTTCAGGATCATGTCGTAGTATGCAGGGAACAAAGATGAGAACTCCTCAATTAAACTCACATATTTTTTCATGATAGGAAAATCAGGTAGAATGACAGGGACTCCAAAAGTCATAGCCCGAATAATCAATGAAGGGAAACCTTGTTCATCTTGGGAAGAACCATAGATAACAATGTCTGAAATTAACAAAACACTGTTCACATCCCCATTCAAACCATAATGACGAATAGAATCTTGAGCAAGTCCTAGCCGTGAAGCAACATCCTGGAGAAAAGTACAATAGATCAAGTCAATCTTCTGAATAGGAATATTAAAATGAGGTAACAAATTATTAAAAAAATGCAACTGTAGATTTGCTCCAATTTGTTTATTTCCATCTCTTGGAAGTAGTTACAGCTTACCCATATTTATATTCCATTACGCCCCTTCTGTTTTTACACTACTTCTAAGATGCCCTTCCACTATTTTTATTGAAATTTCAATCTTCAGGTTTAACAATATTCACCATGAAAATAAATTAAGATCAAACCTAAGGATGGTACTAATTGCATACACTTACGAAAAGATCAGTTTCTTCCACTATACGCTAATGAAGGATGAACTCGGATTGTTTAAGCTGAAAAGGTTTCTACTGTTTAGAACTGAAGAATAGTTTTTTAAGTGTAAAATAACTAAAAGGAGAAAGTAGGATTTGCTGCAATGCGTGCATGTTATTGTAAGAATATATGGTAATATATATCTTGAAGATATAAATAATATATTGATTATCAAGAAATTAAATAGAGTAACATTGAACAGAAAAATAGAATAGAAATTTGTTAAAAGGAAGTCCAAGTATTTCTATCAAAATTTTGTAGCTTAAAAATGCAATGCAAAATAAGCCCAAACAAATAGGGTGGAGATCACACAAGAATACCAAGTCACTCAAACCACATGAACATTTAAATCCTCACTCAAGTCAGATAACGTTTTTTTTGAAATAAAAGTGTGGTATAGTATTAATATTAACAACAATATCAAAGGGAGTGCCACCCGTATACAAAAATAATTTACATGACAATCAAATGGTCAATGACAATTCCAAAATCATCCACCCCATAAATGTCATGACCTAACAAAAAAGCACAAAATGTCACTCAAGTCAGATAACATGTAGAGTAAAAGACTTTACCTAATAAAATAGATTACTGAAAATTCTGTTCTGCAAACAATTTTATCTTGTTTCTATAATTTACCAACTAAAATCATGAAGCATAATTTAGCATTAGCCACAAAACTTTTAGTGCTTCAGTTGAAATGAAAAGTAATTTTACATATATAGGACAGAAAAGTAGATTTTGATGTTTTATTTGTACAGAGAAAAATTAAAATGCAGCAATCAACATTTACCTGTAGAGCATATTTATAGCCATCAGAGGAGTTACCACATAGGAAAACAAATTTAAAGGATCTCTCATCTTCCTTTCTCTTCCCATACTTCGTTAGTAAAGGTCTTAGCGCAGACATTCTCAAGGAATAGTCCAATGAAAGTCTATCATAGAAGAAAGAACTTCCAATAACCAACACCACCATATCATCTTTACTAAAGCCATTAACTTCCCTTAATTCATGTTTTGTGTGGGTTTTAGCGTAGGTCTCTGCTGCCCATACATCAACAGGCAATCCTGGAATCACAAAGAAGTTTCCAGTGTCGAGCCTACTATACAACATCTGATACATGAAAGAAATTTTAGAAAGAATAAGAATGTCAATAACGCTAACATACAGAATTTTCGCAATAAACAAGAACACAGATTTACCGGCGTAGAAAAATCTGGAAACACAATGATATTAGCCCTACTAAAAGCACTTTTCCAATGAGAAACAAGATGTTTCCAGCCCATCTCCTCATAAAGCAGCAGGCGACTTGCAAGGATATCTTCTTGAATTATCCATATAAGTGGTAGAGAAGAAAAAGGCTCCTGCATAAGGCTGCATAGATATAAAACTCACTAACCCATAGCATCTTAAACAAAAATAACAATATATATTGATTCTCAGTCAAATACATAATTGAACCACAAATTTGTCAATAAACATCAAGTTTCACCCTCAACTTCTGTTTCAACCTATTTAACGCCGCAACTTCTATTTAATTTGATTGAATTTTTAAGAAAAAACGAATTAAGAACAAAATTGAAAATAATTTTAAGAAGGGGTGAAAATTTGAATTTGAATGATATTTTTAAAAGAAAAATTAAAAATAGGAGGTCAAAGTGCAATTAGGAAAAGTTCAGCTATACAGGACCGGCCAATCAGTAGTCTCGACGAACCAGAGCGCGCTGCGTGACCAAGCGGGCTGACGTTGACGCCACGCGGGAGGCAATGCTAGCAATCCGCGTGCCCCGCGATCGGACAGCTCAGGATCGATCTCGCGCACGTGGACGATCTGGATCTGCTTTCCCCTTAGGCGCGATCAAACAGTAAAAATCAAACGCGATGATGGTTCAGATTCGTTTTCTCCTTAGATGCAATTGAACAGTCGAGATCAAACGTGATGAACGGTTTAAATTCATTTACTCATTAGGCGCGATCGGATGGATGAGATCGATCGCGATAGACAACTCAGATTAATGCGGGATGTGTATAAATATTTCGCATCACACAGAATCCGAACCCCAACCGCAAGCCCCCGCTAGAGAAAAAGAACCAGACGCCGTAGAAGGAAGCCGACCGCCGACCACCGACTGCCGAAAAAGGTAAAAATTCTCCTACCCGCTCGGAATTCGATTCCGAGCACCCCTTGGCCATATCAGAGCAAAATAAACGGGGGGTAAGCCGAAAACCGCGGGCAAAGCCCGGCGGGGCCGCGGCAGCCCAAAACTTGCAACCTCCTCTGATGAGCCTCTTCCCGATTCCCGTTTCGTGCGATTTTTCCACCATTGTGTTCACTGTTCTGTTCTTTACAAATTGACCGAAGAAGGAATCCCAGCTGTGAAGGAGAGCCTGCAGAGCCACCGCACCCGAAAACCCCACCACCGATAGGTTTCAGTTATCTGATTTTTGTGGCTAACCGAGACTCCCTAACGTATTATTTCGCAGAAATATATGTAAAATCCACGGCAATGCTGTTGCTGGAGTACAGTGTCACCGCATTGCCGAAATTTTAAAATTGGTCAGAAAGGATTTTTAACACCGATTTTGAGTTTTTTGGATATTTTTTTAGATACGTGGAGCGTGTTTAATTTCCGCAAGAAAATTCAGGAAATCCGAAAACTTCCAAGAAGCGCGGTAGAAAGTAAGGTGTTTCGAACAACGATTCGAATAAGAATCTCTCACCCTATTCTCTGTTATGGAATTGAAACTTAAAAATTAATAATATAATATTTTGTGAAATTTAGAAAACTTTAGAAATAATTATAAATTACTAATGGAGGCGGAACCGATTAGTTGTTTATTCGTCATGTTTAACTGATTACTTACTCGTACAGCTTTAAATACATGATAATATATTGAAATAGTTAAATAATTCAATTGTATTTTCTTGATACATATATCGC